TTTTTTTCAAGACAGTGTTTCTCTGTGTTTTTTGGTCCTGTCCTGGATCTCCCATGTAGTCCAGACTGGCCTTGAACTAACAGAGATCTGCCTGGCTGAGCCTCCCAAGTGCTGGGAGTCTTGTAACACCACTGCTGGGCCTTGTTTGGTTGTTTATAGACACTGTCTCTCCATATAGATAGCCCTGGCTCCCCGACAACTCACACTGTAGACCAGGCTGGCCTTGAACTCAGTGAGTCCTCTGTGTTTATCTTTTGAGTGCTTGGATTTTAGGCTGGATCCATCTTTCCTGGCATTGCAGTTTGTTTTTAGTTCACGTGAATTTTCGTTCCTTTTCCTTTTTGGCTTTAGTTAGTTTCCACATGTGTGCTTTAGTGCTCTCAGTTTCCTCCATCTTTCTTTCCTTCCAGATTTTGCTGTTATCATGGCTCTACTATCAATATCCAGATAAAGTTCCCGAATAAATCTGTGCATCAGTCTTATCTAGGGTTTGGTTTATTTGTTGTAGTCAGTTCTAGATGTCCTTAGATAGCCACCAGGCCTATGAATGGCCTCTATTTCTTGCCTTCTGTGTGAATTCTTTCCTTTTGTCTTTTTGTTCCTCTTGGAGCCTCATTTTGTCTCTAATGCACTAGGTGCACTGTAGCCATCTATTTCAAGATCTGCCTCACCAGGTGCTTGGGATTCTTCTTTTTTTCATTTTTGTTTTTTGAGACAGGGTTTCTCTGTGTAGCTTTGTGCCTTTCCTGGAACTCACTCTGTAGCCCAGACTGGCCTCAAACTCACCTGGCTCTGCCTCCAGTGTGCTGGGATTAAAGCAAACACCACCACTGCATGGCTGCTTGGGATTCTTGAGATCTTCCTTTGCCTTTTAGTTACGTTTGTGATTGTGAATTCTTCATGCTGAATTAGCTATATGTAAAGGGTCCCAAGTATGCACTTATATTAGTTTATTTAATGTTCCTGTGATAAAATACTGTGACTTAGGCAACTTGTAGAATGGAGCCCCCTTTATTGAGGGCTTATAATTTCTGAGGGGCAAGAGTTCATGATGGCAGAATTGAAGAGATGGTGGATGGAGCAGGAAGCAGAGAGCTCACAGTTGGAACTACATGTAGGAATCAGAGAAGAAGCTGTGAAGGCCATGAGGCTTTCGACCCTCAAAGCAGCACCCCCAGTGACATGGTTCCTCCAGCAAGGCTACACACCTCTTAAATCTCCCCAATAGCACCCCTGACTGGGGACCTAGTATTCAAACATCTGTGCCTTGGGTACCACTTTCATTCAGACCTTCACAAACACTTGAGCTGGCTAGATTAATGTCCATTTGACACCAGCTAGAGTATTTTTAGAAGAAACTCCAATTGAAATAATGCTCCCATCAGGTTAGCTTGTGGGCAAGCCTGTGGTGCATTTCATATTTGATGATGTGTGTGATGGCCCTGAACACTGTGAGTAGTGCCAACCCTATGCTGGTTCCTGGTGGTATTAAAAAATCAGAATGAGCCAGGCAGTGGTGGCACACGCCTTTAATCCCAGCACTCGGGAGGGAGAGCCAGGCAGATCTCTGTGAGTTTGAGGCCAGCCTGTTCTTCGAGGTCAACTTGGTCTACTGATCGAGATTCAGAATAGGCACCAAAAAATTACACCGAGAAACCCTGTCTGGTGGGCAGGAGGGGGGGCGGGAGGGGGGGAAGAAGAAAACAGAATGAGCAAGTCATGATGAGCAAGCCAGTAAGCAGCACCCATATATGGTCTCTGCTTCAGTTCCAGCCTCCAGGTTCCTGCCTTGAGTTCTTACCTTGCTTGCAGGCCACAAGAATATATTATAGAGATTCAGCTGTGTATTAAAGCTATACTTTGACTGGCCAAGAGTCTGTCAAGAGGCTAGCCATTTATTATGAATATTTGGTGCTATCCAGCCTTTAATATTCCAGCTTTCTTCTACTATGAAATTCTTGCATACTCACAGATCCAGGGAGGCTACATAGCAGAGCGGACCCTAGGATGACTGTGGCTTACAATAAGTTTTGGTTTTACTCTATCACTGGGCAAGCTTCAGTGAAACACTTCACTATTAGGATAAGAATTTGTACTGTATCAAGCTGATAATAGAAAAAAATTAAATAAAATAATAAAAAAAAAAGAAATTCTTGTGTGCTCAAATATTTTCAAACCTGCTGAACTTCTAGGTAACTTCCCTGCTGGAGCCAGTACCTACCTAGTTAAGGTCATGTAGGCAAAGACAAGCTGGTGGGAGACTCATAGCTTTGTTTCTTGTGCAAATGAAGTTCAGGCCATCTGCCTTGAGACCTAGTGGCTCTCCAGAGCAGTTGACTGAGAGCAAAAGAGGTTTTTTTTTACATATCAAGGTGGAAGGTAGGGTGGAGAATTTCCTGAGTAGGCAGAGAACCCTGTGCCAGGGAAAGAAAGCACAGGCATTTTTCTGTAGAGAGAGACAGAATGGCATGGTGAGAGAGAAGAGAGGAAGACAGAGGTTCCATGGAGGGTAAGTAGATCTCAGGTAGAGTTTTCTGAGTAGAGAATAGTTGATATGGAGAATGAGGAGGAAACAGAGGACAAAGATGAGGCTGGAAGCATAGGAGTTTAGTCATTAACAGGACTATGAGCTAAGGAACTAGATGAACTGAAGCTATGGAAACAGGATTTCATCTCAGAGAAATAAAGTAGACGGATATAGAGCTTGGTGTATGT